TAAACAAATGATGAACACACAAGTTGTTTTATATGATGGAACAATTGTTACTAAACAAATGATGAGCACAAGTAGTTTTATATGGTGGAACAATTGTTGCTAAACAAATGATGAGCACATGTAGATTTATATGGTGGAACAATTGTTACTAAACAAATGATGAGCACAAGTAGTTTTACATGGTGGAACAATTGTTACTTAACAAATGATGAACACAAGTAGTTTTATATTGTGGAACAATTGTTGCTAAACAAATGATGAGCACATGTAGTTTTATATGGTGGAACAATTGTTATTAAACAAATGATGAGCACAAGTAGTTTTACATGGTGGAACAATTGTTGCTAAACAAATGATGAACAGAAGTAGTTTTACATGGTTGAACAATTGTTGCTAAACAAATGATGAACACAAGTAGTTTTACATGGTGGAACAACTGTTACTAAACAAATGATGAACACAAGTAGTTTTACATGGTGGAACAATTGTTACTAAACAAATAGTTTTGTATGTTGAGACATAAACAATTGAAACTCTACTAGTGTTATATATAAAAAAGGTGTTAAATAATTTCTTTTTTTAGATTGTTTTAGAAAGTTCATTTATATTTTGTTTCAAACATTATAGTTAAAAATTCAATAAGAATATTAAAAATAGTGTATGATCATTTGTCGAGAGGACAACACCATACATCAATGTTCCATCACTTGTTCCATGGTCACTTGTGTAGGACAAGATTAGATTTCTCAGTTAATCATGTAGCATTACATGGTCACTTGTGTAGGACAAGATTAGATTTTCCAGTTAATCATGTATCACTGGATGGTCACTTGTGTAGGACAAGATTAGATTTCTCAGTTAACCATGCCAAAATCTAATCTTGTCCTACACAAGTGACCATCCAGTGATCCCGTTAATCATGTAGCATTACATGGTCACTTGTGTAGGACAATATTAGATTTTCCAGTTAATCGTGTATCACTGGATGGTCACTTGTGTAGGACAAGATTAGATTTCTCAGTTAATCATGTAGCACTGGATGGTCACTTGTGTAGGACAATATTAGATTTTCCAGTTAATTGTGTAGCATTACATGGTCACTTGTGTAGGACAAGATTAGATTTCTCAGTTAATCATGTAGCATTACATGGTCACTTGTGTAGGACAAGATTAGATTTCTCAGTGAATCATGTATCACTGGATGGTCACTTTTGTAGGTACCAGATTAGATTTCTCAGTTCATCATGTAGCACTGGATGATCACTTGTGTAGGACAATATTAGATTTTCCAGTTAATCATGTATCACTGGATGGTCACTTGTGTAGGATAAGATTAGATTTTCCAGTTAATCATGTAGCATTACATGGTCACTTGTGTAGGATAAGATTAGATTTCTCAGTTAATCATGTATCACTGGATGGTCACTTGTGTAGGACAAGATTAGATTTCTCAGTTAATCATGCATCACTAAATGGTCACTTGTGTAGGACAATATTAGATTTTCCAGTTAATCATGTAGCACTGGATGGTCACTTGTGTAGGATAAGATTAGATTTCTCAGTTAACTATGCATCACTAAATGGTCACTTGTGTAGGACAAGATTAGATTTTCCAGTTAATCATGTAGCACTGGAATCGTGCTCGAGAATAATAGCATGATCATAATACTATAAATCTAGAACAATGTCAGGGTCATAACAATAGAGTTATTTAACAATATAGTGATCATACTGACTGAGTCATGCTCTATAACAATATTGGGATAACGCTGAATGAGTCATGCTCTATAACAATATCGGGATCATATTGCTATAGATCTAAAATAATGTCGTGATTATAATTCTGTATATATATATAACACTATTGTGATCACACTGAATCTTGATTTATAAGAGTATGTCTACGTCTTTACAATTCTCTGGATATGAGACTTTTGGTAATTGACCTGAATGATGACGGATTATATATGTACATATCCTCTAATTGTTGACAATTTGTTTGCCCAGAGAAAGAATTAGACCGAAATTGAGATAAACCCTTTCTGAATATTTGATATAGAAAATAAAAGTTTCGTTCAACTTTGGACTTAGATGCTTATACATTAAGATGTTCCATCTTTCGGTTTCTTGCTTACCTGTCCCTCTAATATTGCATCTTTATTATTGGTCAGCTTCAGCTTGTCGAAGCTGATAATCTTCGCCATCCAATGGCTCCCACTAGCAGGGCTGTCGGGATGAAGGTATCTAGTCTTGTCTGGTGGTGGGTCTCCTTTACTAACAACCATCCACTGTGAGCTGTGAAGACAAGGAAAAGAGTTATGCTGCCATATATCTATATTTTGTCCTAGTTAGTGGTGGGTCATCGTGCTGTCATCTACTGATTTATGTATTTATCTTTGTTAGTGGTGGGTATCTATAAGTTATCTCAGTAACTGGTGTGCTACACACACACACATATATATATATATATGTTATCTTAATTAGTGGTGGATGATTGTGCTGACATCTATTGGTAGATATATCGGTATCTGTATGTGATCCTATTTAGTGGTGAGTCACCGTGCTGCCATCTACTGATGTATATATCTACCTATATTTATATTCAGTCATATAAGCGCCTATGAGTGAAAGTAAACAAAAACATGTAATAGAATGTTAACCACAATATGTTTACTAAAGCCAGTGCCGGTGAGGTCCTTCGCACAATACTACAGTTCACCAGACCGGCTGGGATACAACAGACATAGCAGTGGTCGAGATCTGTCAATACTATCAATTAAACAACAATTGTTCTGACGTGAACTATATTATGATGGTGAACAGTAATTTTTATCTATTTCATTTAAGTCACTACTATCAAATTTAGGTTTTAAGATTTTTGTTAACATCCAACTGTTTACCATTGGTGTGCATCGTTGGTTACTAACAAACATAACAGTTCTGATATTTATCTCTGTTGTTTGAGTTTCATATGCTTGAAACGGTGAACTTATGAATGGTGATTGCCTTAAAACCCAGTTCGGCCCTGATGAAGAAAAAATCTGCATGTCGAAAAAGCTCGGAATATATATTTCTTATTTTTGAGCTTAATTTATTTTTTCAACCTGCGTGTTTCCTATTAATATGATCGTCTTAAATACTTATTTTTACATATGTACTATATTTTGGAAAGTGCAACACGCAACTTTATACATTACATATCATAATTCATTGACAAAAAATATGAACAAAACTGTGAAAACCTTAAATCATGTAAGGTGCGATTACTTGAAACAAAGTAAATATATATATACTCCTCACCTGGCTATATATGTTCTAACAACGTTAAAACGGCTTATCGACTTCTTGAGAAGATTTCCAAGAAGAAAGTAA